CCCTTTCCCCCCCCCCTTCCCTACTCCCTACTCCTCTCACCCTTCCCTTTCTCCTTCTTTCCTTCCTCCCTTCCATACTCCCTACTCCACTCACCCTCCCCTACTCCCTACTCCTCTCACCCTTCCCTTTCTCCTCCCTTCCCTACTCCCTACTCCTCTCCTCACCCTTTCCTTTCTCCTCCTTTCCTTCCTATTCCTTACCTCCCTCTCCCCTTCCTTATTCCTCACCCCTTCCCTTTCCCCTAATCCCCTCCCTCTTTTCCCCCAGTGTGTCATGTTATTGTTGGGTTTTGTCTGTGAGTAAGATCAAAAAGAATCATGTAGTCCAAGCTTTTGAGTTTAGATGAGTGATCAGAATATACATACGTACGCGTGCAAGACACGCGCACACACACAGAGATACACACAGATACACACATACACAAATGCACACACACATACACAAATACACACACACAAACACACACACACACACACACATGTGCACACAATTGTGCACACGCTGAACACATATCTCTATTTTTCCGCTTCCTGTTTCAACTCCCATTCATGTCTTTTTTTCCTTCTCCTTCTCTTCTTTCATTTCCCGGCCTTAAAAGCTGCCTCCAGAGTGATCCATTTTCGCTGACACTCGGGGAAAAGATTCCTCTCAGCCCAGAGACACCTACCAATAAAAACGTGTCGTTTACAAGTCTAGAACCCAGTCGGGTTTTGGGAAGAAATTTTGAAAGTGGCCATTATTATTCCATTACCTTAATTAATTTTAATCTTTCATTTTGTTTTATTTTTTATCTTCTGGGGGTTTTTTTGCTGAAAAAAAGAAGAAGGGGGGGGGGGGGGGGAGGTGTTGAGTGCTTTAATTGTTTGATTATGTTTTTGTTGTTGTTGTTGCTGTAGTTGTTTCGTCTGCTTTATTTGGTCGCTTTTAAAGATAAGCGGGCTAACCCAGATGTCGGGGGTTTCCAGAAATCTTGACCTACACCAAAAGTGGGCATTGCCCTACCTAAAATAAAAGTTTGGTTTATCGGTGTGTATAATATTTGTTTGGTTAGCCTGTAGAAAAAAATGTCCTTGCCTTTGAAGAAAATGAACGAGGGTCAAAAACTTTACCTTCTATTTTCTCAAAGCACCATTTTTCGGGACAGTCCCCTTGTGCTTAAAAGTGACCATTTTGGAGTTTTGTCTGCGTGCTGTTTCCTCTCAAATTCTGATACATTGTATGAGTGATGTGTTTCCCTCCAATTCTGATACATTGTATGAGTGATGTGTTTCCCTCCAATTCTGATACATTGTATGAGTGATGTGTTTCCCTCCAATTCTGATA